TAGCTAAGTGAATATTTATGGAACACGTAACGGACATGGTGTTGAATTGTTATGTAAAGCTGCGCAAAACCCTTTCCTCTATCGAAGATGCAATCAACTACGGGTATCAATTTCCTGGAATAACAAACTCAGACGCATCGTCTATAAATTTACTCACCTGCATCGCTGAACTTCCGTGATACAAATCTCCACAGCTTGATGTTCGTCCGTCATTTCGTCACGCACTCCCCATCTCATGTCCGCCACACCGAAATTGTACCCTAACCTTCGACAAAATTCTCGCAAATATGGGTACACGTCTTCCATTAATAAATCCCTTTCTACTGCCATGTCTGTGAAAGTTGAACTCAAAAATATAGCAATTTCTCTGGTTGGAAGACTCCATCGTGAATCCGCATGTATGTGTCCATGGAGAAGATTGTTGAAGTATTCCATCAAATCTTCGTCTTTCGATTCAAGTAGTTTCTTCCTTTTGCGGTGGACAACGAAGGGCCCGTTCCTAAGGATTGCTTTCCATGGTTCCCTGTCCCAACGATCGTCTTCCCAAAGTTGAAGTACTGCTCTGAATTTCTTATTAGCTTGCATTACTCGTCGCATGACGCCAGGCTTTGTGTTACCATTGCCCATCTTGAAACTTCAGAAATTTGTCGGAAATTAACTGATAACCGTTAATATCCCGAAAGCAAATGCTATTAAACTTTGAAGCCAGTTGTTCAGACGAAAATCGTCTAGCTGCGATGACAGCCAAACTCTGCGACGAGTTGCAACAAGGCAAAGTTTACAGCAAATGACGGCTTTTAAAGGTCTGTTAGCTACCATTTCCTGAGATTTCTGACTGTTCCAAACTGCCTCATTTCGCTGTCCAGTGAACGAGACGTGTGCCTATGTTTTCCGCATTAAAAATCTACAGTCGGCGTAGTTCCTATCTGAAATAAGGTCACCAAACAGTGTGCGGTATTTTGATTACTTCATGTTGCGCATAATCAATTCTTTTCGCCCTTTTGTTTTCCGCAAGCGAATCGGCGACTCTTTTGTCTCTCTACTGCTTCAATTTGCTTCAAGTAAATTGAGTATTTCTTTTGTTCAGTATTTCTGAGAATTTATTTCTAACCACAAGTCTTTCAATCTGATAAGGCGCCTAAAGTTTCTTTTTCGGTTTTTCAGTACTCAACATATAAATACTGAAAAACAAATATTATCTTGGACAAAACAAATCTCTTTTTCTTCACTGATCCTGATTTAAAATTCAATGTGGTTTAATGACGCAAGTGAACAATATAGTAATCAACAAGTCATTTTGCATTTTGGTTTGCATTTAGGGTCTGTTGACAACGTAATTAAGCTTTGTTTTGTTTTTCGGTTTCTTATCGTTTTGCGCTCAATTTAGCTCGTATTTGTCCAGATCAAAGCGAATTTGACAACTTGAACATGTACAGGTAACCACGGCAAATGATTCACAGTATGATGTGGACTAAATAACCAGTAAATTTTCACAGCAGTTCGAGGTCTTTTGAAAATGCACAAGTGCTTACTTACTCTGAATTGTACAAGAAAAAACATAATAGAAATCAGCTTAAGAATAGAAGAATAAAAAAAAAAAAGTTAATTTAAATTAACGTGTTGATCGTCTCAAAATCTTCCGAGCTTGACGAGCTGGAAAACGTCTTTTTAAGCAAGCCTTAAATCCATTCCCTATAAACTATTTGTCTATTAATTTTCATTAGTGAAAACTTGACTTTGGGAGAGAAATTTATTCCGGTTTTGAAAAGGTTAGGCATTGAATAGATCTTGCTATCTGCTCAGACGGTTAATTGGAAAAAGGTGCACTGACGTAGGGTGCATGTAGCTAACTAGTAAGCAATACCGTTGTACTGTTTTCGTTACATTATTTTATTTCTTCAACAGCCTTGATTACAGTTGATGATATCATGTATCTATTACTAGCTGTATAACAATACTTACGTAGATTTTGCTTCCTGCTTAATAATCTCAGCGCCATATATTATAAATATTACTTAACTTAATATTCAATAAATAAGGTTCCATATATTATATCGCAAAGATCCTAAAAGGCCTATAATATAACGTAGATTAATATATATCTTGACGTATATATACTCGCAGAAGCATATATGCGGTTATATGCTTCTGACACTAAGATGGGTAATGAGCAAAGCTTCGCGAATTTAAGTTAGGCAAGATCCGACAAACTGTGCGACTACATAAGACTTCAATACGAAGAGTTATCTATACTGTACACTTAGATGGAAGAATAGATACTATGGATAGGAAAGCTTGCAAGAAACGTTTTTCTTTATGAAAACGCGCCAAAAAACAAGCCTGGTTTCCCACTCTTTCATACAGTCTATCGTGTTACACAGAATCCGAGTTCTCTCAGTCTTCGTGCTTTCTCTTGGTCTTCTTTGGGTGTCGAGAGCGGCTCTTGGCCTTACACAGCGGGCAGATCGGAGCATTCCTGTGAATCTGCTGGTGGCAGGACAGGCAGGCCTTCATGGGAGGTGGCTGCTGCTGGCGGAAATGCCTCTCCCCCGGAGGGCCCCGCTTATTGACCAGCTGCTGTGCGGCAGCTGCTGCTGCAGCTAACTGGGAGGCCACCGGTGGAGGAGGGGGTTCCTGTGGCTCTGGCTTCCAACCTGGTGGAGCACGTTCAAGAAACCTGGCAAGTAACAGAACCATTAGTGGGCGCCGTACCAAGCTATATGTTAAGTACATGTGTAGTCTCTAAATGAAGGAAAGCACCATTAACATGATCGCACGACGCTACAAAGTACTTAAATCACGTTCAATGATTTGAATCAAAAAGATCGCCGCAACTGTACGGGGCATTCGATGTTGACGGTGATGATGAAACTTGATTTGAGCGCTAACGCCATAAGCTTATTGAAAAAGTATAACAAATTATTGAACTATGAAAAGTACAAGGCTCCAGATGTGAAACGGATATACATGTACTATTATACAAAGCATAAAAATCGATAATAAGATAAAATGGGCATAGCCCTTGTAGTTATCGTCTTCGGACCTTATATCACGTTTGTACGTGTATGTACCTACAGTATAGTGTTTTTGAAAACGGCCGATGATTTTTGATACCGGGTAGTTTACCCCCATAATTGGGGCAAAAAAGCGAGCAGTGCGATGCAATAAGACCTCTTCGCATCTAATGTACAGAATTTATAATCTCTTTTGACTGCAACTTACTCTGCAAGGCTACTTTCTTCATCTAGGTTCGCTATTTTCTCCAGACCCAGAGAGCCTCTCATTTTGTCAATGTCTCTCTTCAATGGTTTGTATTCTTCATGCAATCTTCTCAGAGTTTCTAACCCTCTTTCTCTCTCAGATTCAGACTGCTTGATGGTATTTTCCATCTGAAAAAGACAAATGGCAAAATTATTATTCTTACATACAAGTAGTCTTAGTAGGCATATTAAATGATAGAAATACAGGTAGCGTCAACTGAAAACTCAGAAGAAAATCCGAGTTCCACATGGGATATGAATCCACAATCCTCCGTGATCAAGCCAAACACACCAACCACTGAGCCACTAGAGACTCTACGGTGAGCAAGAGTGAAATGTGGGTCTTTGACTGCATCATGCAGTCACACAGCCAATTCTCAGATGATGAGTTGGCACATATGAACTTATAACTGCATCATGCAGTCACACTGAGGCAAAACAAAGACACAACCAACCACCCTTGATCACAGTTTTCAGTTGATGCAGCTATTTCCATCATTTACACGTGGTCTGGCAGGATGAAAATATTGAGCATAGGAATTTTCCCCACAGTCTGTCTTTTCTGGTCAGAACTGGACTTGTTTGGTGTGTTGAACATGTACCAAGAATTCTTAACTTGGTATTATTACTACTTACAGGGATGAACAGGTATGAGTAGAGTATTCATTTACAAATGGAGCCACCCTCAGTATTATTCAGGGGCTTCACTATGCAATTCATCTAAAATGTACTAATTTATTGTCGACATTTCTTTTTAGGCATTGAAAGTTGTTGGATAAGGAAAAGAGAAACATTCTTGTATATATTTTATGACCAATGGCTCTAAAATTTGAATCAACCAAGGAGTATTCAGCAGGTGAGGGAAGCTGCACTGTCCTAACACCAAATGCAAGCTAACAGAAAGCCATAAGTCATATCACTTTTCTCACTCAAGACAAGAATACCAGCACAATGAATATTCATTGCAATGCAACCCCCAGCATTCAATTCACTGCTTCCCATTTGTATGCCTGGGTGAAGGGAGGCACTGTGAGAGTCAAGTGTCTTGCCCAAGAACACAACACAACATCCCTGGCCAGGGCTCCAACCTGGATTGCTTGAGACCACTGTGCATCCACACTTAAGCATGTATGTACTGCTACAAGGCCAGTTATCATGTCCTACTGACAATGTTGACTTAGTGCACTGACGATATTGACTTACTAAATTAATGTCAGCATGAATAAGCCTCAGTTCCTCTACATGTGCCATTTTCTCATGCAGAAGAGCTTCCATTTCTGCTTTATAGTCCTTCAAAAGTTTTCCTTCCTTCTCAGCTGCATCTAACTCTTGGATCAGTTGAGATTTTAGCTTTTCCATCTGTGATGTTTTGACTCTGAAATGTAAAATTATGATAATTTGGGTTCTCTACTTTCAGTTCTTATAAAGTCTCCCCTCATTAGTAAAGAAACCAGTAGATGGTAAAATAACTTGGGAGTTTTATGGAAATTACCAACTGCATCAAAACTTTTTGGATGTAGTCTATGATTGCATGTCATGCACAGAGCCAGACCAACTTTAGGTTAAAATAATACTTAACTGACTCGCTGTGCTCATTTGTAAAGTACTGTTTCTACCACAGGAAAATAAAATTCATATCTCAGCTCTGCAAGTGGGTAACATGAACCAGATTCTCTGTTGTGACTGCCTGCTCGAGAGAGTAACATCCATGTACAGCTATCTTGGCTACTCAGGATTTCCCAACAGTATTCCTCAATAAATAATACTCATATGTATCCTGCGTGCCATATAATGGAAGATCTTTTATTGCCCAGCTTAAAATTGGTTAAAGATGACTGAATATTGTCCTTGATCCTTTTTGGCAAATTTACAGGGCACGACTACTGCATCTCGGTCAATCAACATGCAACACAACAAAAAAGATCTTGGCCATTACTGAGTGATAATTATTGACCTCCTGCTTGGTTAACAGTGCATAATTTATAGCACTGGTTTTGATCAATGGTGTTAAATTAAAATTCCGAATTTCATTTCCTTATAAGCTAAATGTATATATTTAAATTTCTGGGTTATTCAGATCAACAAAAAAATCTAATTAAACAGAAGTGAGCTAAGACAAATTAACCACTTGTTATTACAATCTGTAAAGCTGAAATGGTACCAAATTATTTTCTCCTGCTGAACAGCACAATTCCAAGTGGCTGTCTTCAAGTACACGTCAAAGTAAGATTTTTAGTTCTAACTGAACAAAGAAGTAATAACTCCTTGTTAAAAATATTTTAACAAAGAAGCTGCTCTTTCTTTGTACTGTGGAACACAAAGGAAAGAAAGAAGAAAACGCAATAACCTACCATAGACTCCTAAAAGATCTTGTCCGTCAATTTTATGCAGCAATCAATTAAAGTTGGCTAAGTAAACTTTGTGGAGGGTTAAGCAAACTTCGCAAAACATTAAACGAAGCAATTTTATCTACAACAAGCAGCTGATACATTTCAATAAATAAAGCATAAGCCCGGGCTTCAGTATTCTCTAGTATTTTATTTCAGGGAAGTTCCAGATTGAGAAAAGGTCGTAGCAAGCTTGGTAGAGTTTGATTCGAAATTTGCTGCAAACGGCGCAATGTTTTGTTCAATCCTAGTGCTGGTAGCTATTTATGTAGAAAACATTTTGGGCGTTTAACAAACTTAAGTTAACGAGTTGAGTGCTGAATAGTCATTTGATGCATGTCAAAGAGCCTTTGAGGCATAAACTAATCATTATAAACGTTTGGAAACGTTGATATCGCTGGGTATTTAGCAGCATTTTGTTTCTTGAAAAGCCTTCCTTACCTTATATCTCTTATCGTCTCTAACTTTCGCATATAGTTGTCTTCGTCGCCCTCTCTTACTGGACTAGACGCCATGTTATCCTTTTCAACAAAATAATGACAATATGGCCGCGATGTTGCTCATATAAGAAGAGTACTTATTGGCGTCTCTGATTGGTCAATGAAGTGCAAAGTAACCAATCATTTGCGAGTTTATGAAATTCGAGCCATTTGCGTCGAATTGTCAAAATTTCAGCTGTTCTTCGGCCAGCCTTTGTTCCCCGCAATTTAATGAAATTAATTAAATTTCTCTTGGCATCTTTAGAAACCTGAATATACGTAATAATCGTGAAAGTCAGGAACTTTGAGCAATTCTGAATCACGGAAATTTCATAGTAATATTAGCGGTACTGTCCTCGAAAGCTCGATTTTCAGGGATTATTTTAAAATACACAGGCTGGCTGAAAAATCTTTTTTGTTTCTCCACATTTATCGTTTAAAAGAATTTTTAAAACAAAGGAAAGTGCATATCTGTTTAGGTTAGAAAAATTTCAAGAAATAAAAAAAGATATTCTGGTCGCCCGATATGGGACTTGAACCCATGACCCTCAGATTAAAAGTCTGATGCTCTACCGACTGAGCTAACCGGGCTCCCTCGGCTATAATTACATTTGTTACAATATTTAAAGGATGTAAAATGTTCTGCAACCTTATCTTGCTAAAGCTATTTACTAACTTTTACCGACAAAATCTTTATAATGTGTATTCATTCCTAAAAAGCTATATTGCAGCTCTTATTACGCAATTTCGAGTGCAACAATGTAAGAAGGGGTCATGTATCGATCATGTTTATATAATGATGTTACTTTGTCTCCACCAATGCAAAACTCTTGTTTCATTTCAGTGCTGTTGTGCTGAAAAGGTCCTCTTCTTTTTTCTTTCTTCTCCTTTGCTAGGCCTATTCGTTTGGGCGATTAAAACTTTTTAGCGGGTGAAGAGCTCTATTCACCCAAACCGAACAAATTTCCCTTACCCTTCCCCTCTCCGCAAAATCGTCTACTTGTACCCAGATCTTTGTCGCGGTGTATCGAATAACTAAAGATGGCCGCTCTCACTTGCACACAGATTTTGTTAGCTCTTGGAATGCTTATTTCAGGATCTGTGAACACGCTATCGAAGAAAGCACAGAACGACTGCTCGTAAGTGCCATTTGGCTTGATGTGTGTGAAGTTTGGTTGGCATGTCCCGTTTTTGCTTTCGAACTTCAATGAGATAACCATGACGCGAAATGAAATTATGCAAGCTCAGTTGTTCTTCTATTTAAACTCAAGTCGTGAGTTTAATTTATAAGCTTATGGGTTCCATAGTTGAATTATAATACAGATGGCCTTTGGAAGAACATAAAAATAATTTTGTAACGGGGAAAAGAAGGTTTGCGATTTCCAAGACATTTCTTAACGGGATATCCTGAGCTTGACAACGTACAGCATGTGACTCTTAACGCTCGTAACTATAACATTTTGATAAAACACTTTAGTGTTGTGTAGATTGACTATGATGTATTGACAACAATGTGAATACGATATATCTTCCTTTGCATGATTTTAATTTTTGCCACTTTAATCTTGCCAACTTTTATCTTTTTATTCACGGTACTATTAAAAGCTGTAGCTTAATGCATCAGTCAACCTGGGGTATTTTACACATTGTCCATCACAAGGGTCGGGCATTTAATATACACCCCTGTAGCCTTCCACCCAATTACCCCAGGGCATTTGGTCATCCTGCTTTTTTAAATAAAGTTTCTTATTGAAATACATCTAGATAGGACACCGAGAAATGAGATGTTAGACCTGGAGAATGATGCAACGTACATCATTCACAGGGAACCCTGGGAATAGGGAGCATGGGTGCCAGCTGGGTGCATGCAATGACTGATGCATTGCTGTGCGTATAACTTGTGATTGATCATGCTGCAAAAAATGAATCATGAAACAACAAGAGAGAAAACCACTGGTTTCAGTAAGCACTCACTTCTTGCCGGAATTGGGGTCAAGTTTAGTGTCTTTCACAGATGCTCTTTGCACTTTTCGTGCAATCTTCCTCCCCTATGAATGTCTGCTGAAACACTGGGCTATTTATTTAGCCTAATCACAGTACACTTCCTGATCAAGGCAACAAATTTTGGACCTTGAAAAACTTTGTAAAAGACTTCAATGGATACCTCCATGGCATTTCAACAAGTGTTTAAATCCTTAACAGCAGAAGCTGTAGAGTATTTTTTGAAGAAAGAGATGGATGTGTTTGCACAAAGACATTCATGTGTCTAGTTCATCTCAGACTCAAATGCTGGAATCTTGCACGAAGTCTGCTTTGAACTTGACTGATGAGAGGTGATCTCAAGACATCAAACTACATTGTACAAGTGTGGCCTTTCAGTGAGTGTGTGAGACTTTTAAATCCTGTTCAAGAAACTTATAGTAAGTGTTTTTCCCTGTCTGTGAGAAAGATGAAGAAATTTTATTCTATGAACTCAGTCAGCTGGATTTTAAAAACTGCACTTTTGATTCATATTTACTTTGAAATGTGGCCATTGAATTTGATGTGACATGCAATAGTACACATTGTAGTGATCACCCCTGGGAAGCCTGTTCAGTTTATGATTGGCTTTTTATTACATGATGACTCGGTGCTGATTGGCTTTAAAGTAATTTTCACATGATCTCCAGCAGATCTTTATGAACAAATTGAAAGGTATATGCTCTTTGTTTTAGCAGACATTTGTGTGAGAGGAAGATTGTGTGGTAAGCCCATATATAGCACCTGCAAAGGAGATTAGGTCAAGGTCTGACCCACACTCAGATGGGCGTCCAGGCGCCCTGTGGACAGCCACAATCGTTTTACTTTTCATACGTTGCCTTATAAATTGTTAGCTAATTTGAGCAGGCCCTATAGCACATTTTGGATGCCCACTTTTAAAAATCCTGGCTAAAAGCCAAGGCAAAAGTATATTGTTTCTTGTCATGGTTTGTTGGATGAGTTTTAATTCTCCAAGGGAGATGTGGTGGCCTCATGGTTAGTGTCACTATGGATAGAGCGGTGCAGGTTCAAACCCTGGCTGGGGACATTGTGTAATGTTCTTGGGCAAGACACTGTACTCGAGTCACACTGCCTTTCTCCACCCAGGTGTATAAATGGGTACCGGCCAATTTAATGCTGGGGGTAGCCCTGCAATGGACCAGCATCCCATCTAGGGGGAGTAGAAATACTCCTAGTCACTTTGTGCTACAGAAACCATGGATAAGCGCCAGCCTGATGGGCCACTTGGTTCATATCCAGACTTTTTTCAATTCTCCAAGGTCACGCACCTGTCACAAATCTATGTATTATAATGTTTGTTAAGACAGGTAGTCAGCTGGGTGAATTCAATGCGGAGTGATGACATTGCACCCTGTGATGCCACAGTTATTATTATTATTATTATTATTATTATTATTATTATTATTATTAT